ACAAAAATGGGACATCAATTTCATAATTCTAATTACGACGAGAGTTCCTTAAATGAAACATTTATTCTGAGACTTTAATGCAAATAAAGAAAACACAAATATACAAGTTGATCAGATGGTTCTTCAGAAATGCAAGCTTGATAGCATAAGTTGCACACTGATATATGCAGAAAACCCTGGAAATAAATGATCAAGTGAAGGATGATCGAGTTCGCCACTTTGAAGTCACATAAAGATTGCATCAACATTTATGTATTCATAAGAACATCATTTGCACAATAGAAAATGCATTACATTAATACATTTGATTGCATTCAAACATAAGGTTTTTTTTTCAGATCTTCGTATGAAAAAGAAGATTCATGATGCAAAATACCTTACAAGAAGAAGGTAGAATTCAAAACCTCAAATGTAGAAATCACGCAAATATCTGAAGAATAGATGGACACAATCCATAGAAGAAACATTATTTTGAAATGGGGCATGTTACCCAATCAACACGTTATTTCAATGAGAAAATGATTTCCAAAGTTTCTCATTTAATTTTTTTCTGAAAATGAAATTGTTGAATAGTAAGAAAACGATTTCCAAAGTTTCTTACTTAGTAAACTATTTCTCACATCCATAAGACCTATAGTGCATGATGTTTTCAAAAAGCCTTCGGAAACTTTTTGATATTTAAAGCCTCCGGGTCATCTGTAAGACCTACAGTGCAAGATGATAAGACCTCAGGGTCATCCATAAGACCTACAGTGCAGGATGTTTTCAGAAAGCCTTCAGGAGCTTTTTGATATTTAAAGCCTCTGGGTCATCTGTAAGACCTACAGTGCAAGATGATAAGACCTCAGGGACATCCATAAGACCTACAGTGCAAGATGTTTTCAAAAAGCCTTCGGGAGCTTTTTGATATTTAAAGCCTTTGGGTCATCTGTAAGACATACATCGCAAGATGTTTTTTAAGTCCTCTGGGCCATTCTTAAGACCTCTGGGCAGAATGTTTTCAATATTTCCATCCTAATCAATAGAAATCAAATGAAAAATTATTGTCTTTTTGTCTTTGCTCTATTCTTGTTAACACAAGAATGAGCAAATAGGGGTAGTTGTAGACACTAATTTTTTCATTTTAAAATTATTATTATTATTATATATTATTATTTTTTATTATAAATAATTACAAATAAACCCGAAGCCCATTTTACAATAAACCCGAGGCCCGATTACAATTCCAGGCCCAACTCAGATGGCCCAGTAGGACCTAAACCCTAATATAGTTAGGGTTTCTAAACCCTATCTCAACCAAACGCCACCACCTCACTGTCGACGCTACTGCCACGACACTACCATTGCAAAAGCTCCCCAACGCTAGGCCAATCGTCCACATCGCTTCCCTATGGTGAGTCACCAGCATAGCTTTGGTGACTCACCGAAGTTTCCCCCTTTGGACTGGTCCGAATAGAACAATGTGGTGGCTATAAAAGCCACCACCGAACCTGCAAAGAAAAAAAAGATCATCGACAACAAGCAAGAACGGAGACAACAAGATACCGACGGCAAGACACAACGGAGGCAGAAAACAACCAACAACCAGCAAAAGAGAAAAAAAAAAGAAGCTTACCGAGAAGACTACACTGTCACCGGAGATACAACGGGCCTCACCGCGTCGCCAAAAGCAACCGAAATACCGAGGATATTTATGTAGATCTAGGTAATTTCAGGGTTTTTTTAGGGAAAAAGAACATTGGAATCGTCTTTAGGATGTTTCGATCTTTATTTTGGGGGATTTTGAAATTTTACGGCCACTGACGACGGTGGCCGGCGACGGCGATCGATGCTGGGAACGGTGGCCAGCGATGGTCGGTTTTCTCCTCCGACGAGAGAAAACAAGAGAAGCAAAACCAGAAAATGGGTAAAAATGGCCCTAAAAGGGTCTGATATGGGTTTTATATACCCCTCCCCAAACAACGTCGTTTTGGGGAAGGGTGTATCTGTAATTTCAAAAACTGGGTTAATTATACTCACAGACCTTCGAATTTATAACTTTTCATTATAGCCACTAAAATCAATTATTGAGCATTTTAATTCGGTCTTCCAATTTTATTTGATTTATAATTTAGTCCTTGCCAGTATATTTAATATTTTAGGGTAAATATCATAATTAGTCCTTTTAATTTTAATAAATATTATTTTAATCATCGATTAATAATTAAGGGCTAATGGCACTATTAGTAATTATATTTTTATAATAATTTGAATTATGTCTATTAATTTAGATAATTTATATTTTAATACTATAAGCTTTTAATTCATTTTATTTTGGTCATTTTAGTGAAATTTTATTCTATTTGTTTATTATTTATTTGTAATTTATTTTCAATATGTTTAATTTAATACTTTAAATATTATTTATTTTAGCATATAAAAATATATTTAGTTAAATAATAATATTTATTTATTTTAAAATATTAAGATAAGGTTGTCTTAAATTAACTAAAAGCTCCATTCCGATATTTTTAAATAAATAAATATTGCATTTATAAAAACAAATATATATATATATATATATATATATATATATATATAGTTATTTTAGTTTTATTCAAATTATTATATTTTTCTTCATTTTATATTTATTTAATTTTAGTCATATTAATATATGTATATATATATATATGAAAGATTAATAAGTATTATTTAATTAATTTCATAAATTAATTAAATAATAATATTTATTTATTTTTAAATATTAAGAAAGGGCGCTCTTAAAATAACTAGACTTCATATTCTGGTATTTTAAAAATAAATAAATATCCTGCTTATAAATATATATATATATATATATATTTACTTCGTTTTTATTATTTTTTTTAAAAATTATTATATTCTTATTAATATGTATTTATTTATTAATATTAAAGAAAGAGTCTCTCTTAAAGCAACTAAATGTCCTTTTCTAATATTTTTAAATAAATAAATACTTTATTTATAATTCATAAAAATTATTTTAATATTTTTCTTTTTTATAATTATCCGATTGAATATGAAAAGATTATAAATTAAATTTATATTCAAATTCTTATATTCTATTATTAGAAATAATTTATAATCGATAGAGACCGATTTTGGACGTTGTGGGGTGCTAATCCTTTCCCAAACGTAACTGACCACGAATCTTTTTTTTTATTAAAAAGAACGAATTTTTAGTTAAACGCAAACCAGTTTATCTTTTAACTAATGTTTTTTTAAAAACTCTTTTAAAATATGATTTTTAGGTATTCGACCTACCTAATCCAAAAGGCCAAAGGCGACTCCCAAAACATTTCTTTAAATAAAAGTCATTTATTTATTCACCTTATCTTTCTCGTCAAGTAAAATTTCGTACCCGAGCGAAAATCTGTTACTACACAAATAATTATTTTCTAGTGGTAAGCTGGAAATGTTCCAATAATCGAGACGATTACGATGAATAAACAAACACTATCACAAAAAAGAATATACACGTTTGCCAGGAAAATTCTACAAGGAAAAAATCACGGGTAAAAAAATAAGAATTTATTATAGTTGACGGCAAAATTACAAGTGGATTTCGCCAAAATACATATATATACATATATATATATATATATATATATATATATATATATATATATATATATATATACACGTACACATACATTATAACCTTGAACAAATTCGTACCTTTTTTCATATTCCACATTTTTTTCTTCCAATTTACTTCTTAACCAGACAGATCACGATTGGAAATACGAGTAAATTTCATATGTTTGGGTTGGGGGCATAGTTAAACCATCAAATAAACAAATTATGTCCATTTTAATTTATATAAAAGCATATTGTAAAGGAAGGATCAAACTGAACTTTCAATAAATTTCCTAACATTTAAAATAAATTAGACAAAAAATTACGAACAAACAGCAAATACGACCTTAACTAGATTCTTACATCACACTATTAGTAACTAACAAATTAACCGATTACGTCAGCATACGGTATATTAGGTATAAGTATGTGTAATTTGTATACGTACTATTGAGTGTACATATCGAGGACGACGGTTTTATCCCCGGGGGCATTAACGATGGGCTAGAAATTGTCCTTTGTAACATCCGTCACCTGTCCCACCGTTCCTCCGGCCGCCTCCAAGCTCGACCTCACCTTTCCAACAGCGCCTTTTACCTTATTGTTCTTAGATCCCGAAATGGATGTAACAGTCTTTAACGACGATGATCTTAATAAAAAGGAATTTGAAGTTGGATAAACGCTACAGGAGGCAACGATGTGGTGTACCGCCGCGCATGACAGTGACGGAGAAGAACGGGGCCGGCGGATTGGGTGAGCGACATTTTTGAGAAAAAAATTGAAAGAAGAAATCAATTGGGTGCACTTGCGGACGGCGGAACAAGGGAGTGACTGTATTTTACATATAGTTGTAGCGTGAATACTGTTTTACCCTTCCGAATCATGAATTATATTTGAATGTTGAGGATATTTTGGTCAGATAGTGGAATTTTGGTAGGAAGGATGAGAGGTGCAGGATTAGGGAGAGGGGGTGACATTGAGAGATGGGAAGTTTTCATTTTGGGATGTGAAAAGACGATATAGTGCTTGGGATATTTGATGAGAACCTATTGAACAGTGTATGAGAAGGGGTGTTTCTGTCCGTTAACTGATTTTATGGGTCCAAGGATAATTCCTACCACATAAATGATAGATGAGAAGACGAATAGTCTTTGACTTTGAAGACTAAAGCAGATGTTCCGTATAAAAAAAAATTCTTAGAGGATAGGCCCATCCAGGGCTTACGTATCAGAGAGAGTAATGAAATATAATTGATCTAACAATAAAGCATTAAAGAGCTCAAAAGATTAACAGTAAATAGGAAAATACACGACAACGTGGGCACTTTACGTACAAGAGCATGAAAACTAGAGAATCACATGAAATATAGGAGAATTACAGGAGGGGGAAAAAGGAGGGGGGTGTTAAGCCGAGAAAGGTATGGACAAACGGGAAAGGCGTGGATTGTTGACATTGCCCACATGCTTCGTAGTAGTAGCTTCCTGTCCCCAAGGAGGCACGTACTTGACAGGGTTTGGACCCACCACGCTCACCGCCTTCTGGCTTCGGCAGCTCAGCAACCCCCATTCCCCTGTTTTCTTCTTTCCACCTCCATTGTAATTCCCAATGCCCTGCATATTCTCCTCCGCTTCGGATACCCCAACCGAACCTCTCTCGAACCCTTCAGCCGTCGTCACGCTCCAGTCTATGCTCGCCTCACTTGGCTCGTAACTCTCCGTCACCATCGGAGAATACGGACACCCAAGGCTGAACCCTGTGGCCCCGTTATTATAGCCACCTGGTATCGATCTCATTGTGTTATAATGCAAGGCCTCGTCCAACGAATCTCGACGCTTGTACATTTGGTATGTCGACGCGGTGGTCTGGCACTGGGTGGTTGTGGATAAGCTCTCGATTTCGAACAGGTCCGAGCTAGTATCGCTTGCGACATCATCGTCTGCTACGGTTATTCTCGACACAAGTTTCCTAGGTGGTTGGAACACATCCAACGACTGTCGAGGTGGATCTTCATGATCAATAACAAGATCGGAACTAATAGCTCTTTTCACTGACATTTTAACGGTGGATGGTTTTGGTTGTTGGTTAAGTATTGGAAACGTAAAGCCAGCAGGAGCAGTCCCTGAAACTCTTGTTGTTGTTGCCACCACACGCTGTTCTGAGCTTGAATGAAACTCATGATTTTCTTCTGAGATACTGTGAAGGTTGCTGCTGGTTAGTTGTATGACGGGTATTTCCTGCCGTTTCTGATCATCATCGTCTTCCTTGAGTTTTGGGTTCAAACTCAACGGTGCTTTGGTCTCGACTTGAACGGATTTCTTTCCCGAGCAGGGGCAACATGGTCGCCAGAGCCATCGTTTTTTACCAGACCTTTTTCTCCTGTCATCGGTCGTGATCATAGAAACTGCAATGGCACCAGTGGGGTTTGACAACAAACCAGTCTGGCTATTCCAGCTAGCCTCCGATGACGGCGTTGGTGTTGCGTGGAAGGAACGAAGTCGGTATGTCATCCCATAACCATACCCGTCAGAAGCAGAGGAAAATCTACCGGCCAAGGGCAAGGGCAAGGCAGAATTATCTGATGAAACATGAAGCAGATTGGGTATATCAAGCGTGGACACTCGTGGCTCGCTGTTGCTTTCGTTGAAATACTTTTTGACATCAAAGATACTAATCTCCGTATCCTCGTCTGCAGATACTTGGACACCATTCATCATTTTCATCACTCTTGGATTTTCCATCATCATCTCCAACCAATCAGAGGTCTAAAGAAAAGAAAAGAATGAATGGATATCTGAGAGTGGAACTGCCTCTACATTTCGCAGGTATATGTAGAGGTTTAATTTGTCCAAAATATCAATCATTCATACGTAATAATTGCATACATAGTCTCATTCCAGCAGTGAAAATAGAATACCAAATGAGGAAATCTACATCCCCGGATTTTATCATTTATCCACGACCACAAGATTTGAGAGAAGTAGACAATGGCAGTGAGCAGATAATTCACAACCATCAGAGTTCCCAGCATCCCATGGAAAATAATTGTGCATATTCGCCACAGCAACTGTCCGATATGTAGAGTCTTGTTTTTTCATGGTATTCCTTGATTGAGTTTTCTATGCTCTGCACTTCTCTAATCTCATACCTATGTTTCATGCTTTGTTCATTCAGATTTTGATTATTAATTTGTTATTAAACGATAACCACGCTTATAGACATGATCACCACAAAGTACGGTATATGGTGACGTTTGTTTAATGCTTTTTCCCCCTATAAAAAGACGCTATGTTTAAAATAAATATGGAAACGACACCGTATGTTATTAGAAACGTCGTCATATTTTAGGATGTTATGTAAAACGGCATCTCTTTTTCGTAGTTATATTCTCTGCGGTGTTTATAAATGTCGCAATAATTATATATGTATCGTTTTAAATCAACATAAATATTTTATTATAGTATTAATTATTTGATGATTAATAAAATTATTGTTAGGTTATAATTTAATGCAGAAATATTTAAATAAATAAATTTATCCTATGCATTGCAGTCTACAAACACGTGTATTTATCGTTTTAAGTACACCAAATTGTTTAAATGTATTTACGGTATTAAAATTGAAAATATAAACACATAAAATATAATCATTCTACGCTCATGTAAATTACATTTTTTTGTGAATTATAATATCAAAATCATATCCTAATAATTTATAATAAATAGTAAACAATTGGAGGATAAATATATTAAATTGATGAATCACATGGCATCCTATCATTTTGGTGTGCTTTGTGGAACCCAATTTCCGGCAACTGGCAGCAACATTTCAGCATATGAATGTGCAAAGACGAGTTGGTAGCTTTATCCAACATCTTTTAGAAGCATCACTGATTTCGGGAGCTGTGCTTCTAAATCTTTGCATCTAGACTGTAAAGGTCAAGTCATATGATGTGCTTCATCAAAGAAAAAAATGAGAACAAAAAATTAGGTATTTCGAGAGCTGTCTTATGAAGATTCTAATATGTTTATAATATAGTATATGTGCCCAATTTTAAATTCGAATAAATTCAGGTTACCCTGATAAAACTTGGATCATTTAGGAAAAACAACATTCCCTTTACATAGGTAGGTCCAATGAGTTTTAATACCCTGTGCGAGATAATAATTTTATGCCCCTATACTTGTAACGTATAATAGACAAAATATAATTTTTTTTAAAACAAAAATGTAATAAAAATTATCGTCAAACAATATCAATGCTAATACAAACCAAAACATACAATGCTACAAATATCACCTAAAATGATGTCTTCGTGCATTTTTTGAAGCAGAAACCTCTATTATTTTATGATAATCAAGACTTTGTAAAAATTGACTTTCGATGCTTAGAATTGCTAATTCGTTCAATCTATCTTAAGTTATCGTGCTTCAAAAATCGAATTATTAGAATGTTTAACCGGTCTAACAATAAATCTATCTAAAGACCCATGTAAAGAATTAGCTATTTTTTGTTCTTTTTTTCGTTTTCTATTTTGGGCATCCGATGGTTGTTTTCGAGGTAATATATTTAAAAGTAATCAATAAAACAAATATAGTAGCAAATAAACAATAAAACATGTATATTAGCAAAGAAAGATACAACCTGACCTGTGACCGAAGTTTATATTGTTGAGTTGTTCTTTCTCACAATCAACTGATCTGAAAAATTAATGATGAAATCAAAATAATCAAAATGAATCACTCTAAAAAATGTATCGAACGAAAATAAAAGAAGATAAATTAAACATGAAAGCTATCTACTGCTAGGCTACTAGCAAAACAGAAAATGCAATCTCATGATCCAAGATCCAGAAAGCACTTGCAAACATTTGCAAACATTCATCCCCACAGGCCTCACGCTTGTCTGAATTATTTATGAACCCGTCGCTTTTATATTTGCTTTTAATCTTTGGGTCCGGTTGGTTGAAAAATAATTGGGTTTCATAACTATAATTTGCTGCATGTTAAAATTCTGCACTCACTAGTCAAGCCTCGTTTCAAAAAATAAAATCAAATGACATACGGACTACTGCATTTCGTTTTCCAAAAACAAGAACCGGTTTAAGCCCCACCCGATCGAACCAAATGGCTAACTTAAAACCATTAGGCAAGAACAAACTAATACCATTTCCAAAATCTTCAAAGTGAACATGATTCTTTGTACAAACAGCCCCAAAATAAAAAACATTGAAGCACATTCCAGATTCCTTAAACATTTAAAAATATACAAAGGAGGGAATTTCGATTCAATGCTAAGACAGTAAGACCAAACAGGAAATTCATATTGAAATTTTAAAAATAAAACCCTGATTTAAACAAAACTCAAATAAGAAAAATCCCGATCATACAATAAGATATTTAATGAATTCAACAAAAACCCATAATATCTTTAAAATCCATAAATAATGGGAATTATATAATAGACAAAGGAGGGAATTTCGAAGAGGACTGGATAGATCAACCAAGTAGATCCAAGAAATTTGTCTCACTACATAAATTATAGAAAGCTGACCTGCGAGAACCGGAAAAACAGAAATGCATCTAAACACGAAGTAAATCAGAGAATAGTGCGAAGGATCTCGAACAACCGGAAACTGAAAACAACTCAATCTCGGATTCAATTTTACAAGTAAAATGAGCGTCGTCGTGTCTAGTAGAAGCAAAAGAGGTAATAACTGGGAAGTCAAAATATTAGAATGATGCCCCCTTAAATATGATGCCCTGTGCCCAGGCCCATGTGGCACATGTCCTGGGCCGGCCCTGCCTTTACACACCGCGTAGACAGAATTACTATAATTCAGGAATAACAATCCCTATAAGTACTGAGATCACTAAATGGATTCAATTATGTAGCCATAGTTAAGAACAAAACAAGTAGAAAGAGTCACTTCCATTTACAGAGCACAACACAAGCTTAGTACATTTGTATGTCCAGTGATTCAAGACAACAAGCGGCAACAATTTCTACAAACATTAAATAAGCAAACCAAAGCCAAACAAACGCCAAACAACTGGAAGCCGAACATGTTATTCTTACTATGACAAGATACATTCGCTTGAATAATCAGAATAACATGGCGAGTCAACTGGAAGCCCATGACCCATCAAAATATACTCTTGAAGAGTGAGTCTTTACATGAGAATAGACACTCACACGTGTAACAACCACCTTCAAACTTTAATATACTAATATTTATGCCTTCAGAGTCTATGATGTGGCCCTCAGCTTGTGCTCTTCAACAGTTTCAGTTCCACGTAACATGGATGGTTCCTGTATTGTAGAGACAGTGTAAGAACATACAGAGGCAAGGACAATATAATCCATCTTATTATCTTAAAAGAGCAAATGAAACTTGCATGCTCAATAAGGAAATATTTAATTTTTATTAATCCAAAAAACTTTAACATGTGTGCATGCGTATCTGGATGCATATTTCAGAAAATTGGATTCCATAAATTTTAGGTATAAAGTTCTGTTTATATGCAGCATCAAAAGAATTGCATACATTGATTATTGTTCCTCAAACATTACAGTTAATACGAGTTTGATGAAACGAAAAACAAGAATCATTCGAATCAGCCAACCATAAAGACAAATTCATAGTGAAATCATTATTCTCACTAATCAGAATCCATTAAACAAGGAACTCTGAAAATATAAAAGATTTTCAACACAATTAGCTAGGAGCTAAAATAAAACCAAATTAAGATTTGTTGCAGGCACTAAACTTTTCAAGAAAATAAAATTACACAGCTTAAAAGAACTTGGGAATTAGGATATTATCAAGCTCGGATATAAAAACACTTACCCATGGTAAAGAAATGACAATGCTTCAACATGTCCAAGAACCAAAATTTTCAAAGACTAACATGGACAGACTGTAGGACAAATGTAAGGAAATGACATAATAATTGGTAAAAATTCATGGAGCACACAGTTAAGCAAGTAATAGGAAGAACTTCATTCTGCTAGACTAATGAAACGCATAGAAGAGAAAATGGCAATTTCAGATGATTAAGAATATTATATTTCTTAAGTAACAAAATACATGATTTTTATTTTATAAGCCGCCAATTATTTCTGTTATGTCTTTCGACTTTCAATGTAGCTCTTTTACATTTCATTTGTAATAAAAAATGCACTCACACCAGTTAAAGAAAATAATTAAAATAATAAAATGAATGTGACCAGTCTCTAACCTCTGAAATGCACATTAAGGAAAGGAAATATCATGTAAAAGTGAGAAATATAAGCGAGGTAAAATCTTTATGCAGAATCAACCTGATAATTCGAGAAGGAATCATTAGGATCAACAGCGGTGCAATCAAGGGGGTTCTCGAACAAGGACAAGGAGAACTGTTTATCAACGACGCCGACATCGAAGTTGATCAAACCGGATTCTGGATCATCGACACGTATGTTAATAACGGGAAACCATAGGAACAGCTCCTGCTGGGACATACCGGACAAATTCGCGATCTTCCGGGAAGATAAGATTCCGGTGATGTTGAAATCGTAATGGAATTGGATCTGGGAGTCGGAGTTGCAGGGTTGGGTTAGGTTCACTTGGAAACGGTTCGTCTCGGGATCAATTGAAAAATCTGTCACACCCTTTGGGAAGATACCCACAGGGAGGCCGTTGTGTTTCAAATGGTCGTAGATTGAAGGAGGGGATGATGACTGGGCGGTGAGAAAATGAAGAAATAAAATTAGGA